AGATGCTCCATTTAATGAATACAAGAGACAAGCCAAGAAGCGTCAAGTAGACACTGAATAGGACTAAACTATGTACATAATGTTTTTTTGCCTTTTGTTTCATAATAAATTTTATTTATATAACCCTTTTACCGATTTTTAAAGTGTTACATGAACAGGACAGGTGAAATATTATCATGTAAAGCAACCATAAACACATGAAAAGACCTAGGTTTACAATTTATGATTAAAATTCTACTATCTACACAATATACATAGACATAAAATGTAAAAATTTAAATATCTCAGAAACAGTAGCCAGTTGTTTTAATTGTCATATTTGAATTCAGCACATCAAAATACATAATAAATAGCACATTTTATCTCTGAAGCAGACGACTTCTCAAAAATTGTAGACCAGTGTTATTAATTTAAATAAGAGTGCTTATGCAAATAACAGCTCACTGTGACAGACTGCAATATCCTGGACAAACCTTCTTGAATTAAGTTTAACATACCTTTGGAATTCATTGTATTAAAAATGCAAATATGTACTATTGTGGGATTGCATGGAACTTTTTTTAGCAGGAAGACAGGATTAATGCAATCTCTGGGAGATATGAGGAACTTCAAAGCACACTTTGGGAAATGCATATGAAGTGGATTTCCTAGGAAATACTTGGGGGTGAGGGGAATGCAAATACCCACTTCAGATCTATGCTTTTGAAGCTACGCCCTGGAGAGAGGAACCAATTGTTGCTAATTACCTGCTCCTGGCAATCCCAGATCAAAGATCCTTAAACTGTATAAAGGGTGAACTAAACATATCATGAGTGTGCTAGTTCTGAGCTGAGACTCTTATGAACTTGTCACCACAAGAGACCTCTTTGGGAAGGTTTGAAGACTCACTTGCCAGAACCCATATGGAAGACGGGGGTTGGGAGGGGCAGAATCTCTGATAAATTTATTAGCAGGTGTATAGGTTCTTTTATTGTTTTAATATGTTTTTCTGTAGTGCTTTTACACTAAGAATAAACTAGGCTTGCATAGGAAGTGCTGTGTGGTAACTTAGAACTGTGGATAGGTACATTTTTAAACCTCTGAATAGAAAGTAAGCAGGCTTGCTTAAGCAGTGTCTCTTGCTGGGAATAATGCAGGGTACTGTCCAGCCTGCAGATACCCCGGTCAGAAGGGAGACAGATGGGTGTCTCCACCCAAGAGAGGCAACGGCCAGGTACTCCAGAAGCCTGAGAAGGGAGCTCCTGCTCTACCACTAAGGGGAAACACAGGTGTCCTGAACTGTGGCACTCACCATGGGCAGGAAAGAGCTCATAATCTGGCACAGTATTTTGATTTATCTCAACATTTCTAAACGCTATAGTTATCAAAAGTAATTTTTAAAAAATTGAATAAATTGCTTTCTTTACCACAAATACTTGTGTTACTTGATTTCTCAGTGCAGAAAGATGCATCTAACATTTTAAAAATTAACGTTCCCTATTCTCTTATGAATTTGGTATTGTACGGAGAGATAACAGATGCAATTTCCATACTCAAAGACAGGTATTTAGAAATCACTGAAATATCTTCCTATAAATATATATTATACAAAGTCAACAATAAAATGGTAGAATTTGAATCTTTATGGATGGAGTTTGATTTAGCAAATAAGTAGCAGAGTTCTCTACAGCCAAGGTGACACTGAATATTTTTGATTGGGAAATGGGCAGCTGGGGTTCCTATGTCTTTTTATTATTATCTATTTTTTTTGTTTCCTTTTCTTCCCAGGCCATAAGCACTTTTTAATTTCCTCTTGAGTTATTATGGACTTTTAATTTGTGTTTACGTGTTTTTAAAGTCCTGCTAGGCATGATTTGTGTCTTGAGAGCTTCCTGATGTGTCTGGATGTAAAAGAAATTTGTCATTATGGTGCAATTACAGTAGCTGGATGATTTCATTGTCAAACTCTACAAATTTTGCTTCATAGAATTTAAACACCAAAATCTCATTTAAAATGTGATTTAACATGCATGTATGTTGATGATAAACAAAGTCCAAATTACCCACTATGTAGATTATTTCCGCACCATAAACTTCACAAGTTTGGATTTATAGGTGATATACACGGGAGTTTTGCCATTGACTGCAGTGAAACCAGGACTTCACATGTTCTTTCCTTCAGGTAATAGGGTTCCCTATAACTCTCTTCTTGACCCTGACTACTCAGCACCTCCACGTCAACCCCCATGGCAGTAAGGTTTGTGATATGGTGTCCCCTACTGTCATTGCCTACCTATGCGGACAAAGGTCACATCATGAAGGGGCAACCCACACTAATCAATGCTGAAATTAATTGATGCTTGGAAGAATCATAGTGTGTGGTGTGGCAGATTACTGGGCCATCTGTCTTTAACCCTCTCCCTCCCAAGTCATGAATCCATATCATCATGCAGCTCCTAGGGGAGGTTTTCATGGGATTGGAAGAAAGGTAAAGCATGCACCAAAGCCAGCACTTCCCATCTCCCCTGGATTTACAGCTTTTTGCTCTTCTCAGCCCATGGGTGAGCTTTTGGCTTTAAGTACTTGATTTGCTTAGACATGGGGTGGCAGGTATGTATACTTTTTGGTGGTGCCCAGAATGGGTCCAAGTCCCCCCCCGCTCGCACACACACCTGCCTAAGGGTCTGGGAGGGAGTTTGGGTGCAGGATGGGGTTTGGGCTCTGGGAGGGAGTTTGGGTGCGGGAGAGGTGAGGGGTCAGGCTCTGGGGGAGAGAGTTTGGGTACGGGAGAGGTGAGGGGTCAGATTCTGGGAGGGAATTTGGGTATGGGGTATGGGCTGCGGCAGAGGGTTGGGGTGCAGGAGGGGGGCGGGCTCTGGGAAGGAGTGTGGGTGCAGGAAAAGGTGCAGGGGGTGGGATCTGGGAGGGAGTTTGCATGCGGACTCTGGTCTGGGACATGGGGTTGGGGTGTGGGAGAGGGTGAGGGGTGCGGTACTTATTTTGGGCAGCTCCCAAAGCGACCTGCGCACCCCTCTGGCAGCAGCTCCTAGGTAGGAGGCCGGGGGGGGGGTGTCTCTGTGTGCCGCTGCCTGCAGACACCACCCATGCAGCTCCCATTGGCCGCAGTTCCCGGTCAATGGGAGCTGCGGAGTCGGCACTCGGGGCGGGGCAGTGCTCGAGGTACGCCCCCGTCCTCCAAGGCCGCAGGGACATGCCGGCCGCTTTTGGGAGTGGCGCGGAGCGAGGGCGGGCAGGAAGCCACCTTCGCCCCGCTGCGCTGCTGGTGATGGCAGGGTGGGCGGGGATCCCCGGACCCCTTTAAATTGCCTGGGGGTGGCAGGCGGGGCTGGGAGACGCTCTGGGGGAGGCGCATGGGGGCCCTGAATATTCCTGGAGCCTGGGCAGCACGGGCCCATATAACTGGCCGCCACTGGCTTAGGCTATATATTTTATCTGGTGGAATTAACATTGGCCTGTTATTTTGAAATTAATTCTTTTAAAAAGAATAAAATAATTTGAAGTTTAACTCATGAATTTTATTTGTATAGAGCAGTAACTGTTAAATTACATTGCGACTGATATTAAAATACCTCTTTACACTTAGGATTATCTAATGTTATCTTGTCAGTTTGAATTTGACTACAAAGAGCTAAAGGGAAGAGGAAAGCTTTTAAAACTGATCTGTGACGCCAAATCGGAAAATAAGAATTGAAAAAAGAAAAAGAAAAGAAAGAAAAGCTATATTATTCAAAACTGTTCCTGTGATTTTCTGCACTAGCAACTGTTAATTATTAGTTCTTCAAAGATTGAGGAACAGAGTATCCTCACTCTTAGAACACTTTTGCTCTAACCACAGGATCCCAGTTTTAATAAGTATTTCTCCAGCAGCTGTTGAATATTGATGTAGAAGCACATAAACATATTACACTCTGCAGAAGTTGTATCCAAATTAAATGTGTTATACGGTCGAGTTGCTGTATCAAGTCAATAACAATTGTATAGGTCACATTAGTTATGAATATTTATTTTTTGTTCTCTTCCCTATTAAATCTGTTGATGTGCCTTTTATGTCGAAGAACATGGTAAGACATCAATTTAGGGATGCACTCAGTACCTCATGAGGCATCAACACCATGCCACAGATAGTTTTACCATGGTTATTTTTTCCCCCTTGCATTGCTCTTTTTTCCTATGGCTTTTCTTTCTGAGGACTGAAAACCAAAAAGCCCTGTCCATAAGCAGAAACAGTTGTGGATTAAGGAACCGTAGCAGGCCTGGATCTGGCTCCTGTATCTACAAAGGAAACAGCTCCTTAGCCAAACCCACAGATTTGGTAATTGCTCCCATCATCCCAGGGCTAGGCCATTCCTTCCTTTACAGTGGATGGGGGAGAAAGCCTTTCAGAAATTAGTATCCCTTTGCAAAGCCCACTGAATGCACTGCCTCCACCTCAACTCATTCCTTGGTGGTTTCTTCTGAGCACAAAATTTGGCTCCTTTTGCTCAGTGGATTTCATTCATATTTTTACATGCAGCCAGTGCTTTTGATGGGTGCACTTCAAATAGAGATGAATATATAAAACGTAGTGATAATTATTTACCCTGATATTATTTAAACAGGTGCTTTGAAACACAAGTAACATTCATTGATAGATTATGGATCCAATCCTGGGAACCCAGATCAGGTAGAATTTTCATTACAATTAATGAGAGTTTCATATCTGAAGGACTATAAGACAACAGATAATGGCTGATAAATCTTGATTGACAGCGGCATTAAGAAGTGGGGTATTTTACAACTTTTAAGTGAGAGAAGACTAAAAAAAATAAAACTTTAGTGAAAAAAATATAATACAAACAAAGATTAATAGAGAAGATAATCTTACCACAAAGTCCTTCTGTCTTGGTAGATGTGTTAGAATGTAAGCCATATTGTATATCTATAATGCCTGTAACATGAGCCCACTTAATGCTAATGCCAGCAGGTGTGTTAATGACGTACATGGCACCAGTATCCTGAATACATAGTCCATGTTTTGAGAAAGGTAATGGTTGAATTACAAAATCCACTACTACCTAAATAAACCAAATATATTTTTTAATGAACAGCAGAATTCCAGAAACACATTTAATGAAATAGCAAATAGCATTTGTATTTTATCGTTTTAGATTGTTTCCATCATATTTATCAGCGGTAGTCAGGGTGTGCAAATCATGGCATTTCTAATCAACCTCCGACCATCTCCTATAATCGCAAAGAAAGTAGGCAATGAATGAAAATGATGAAGGACGAATCTTTTGTAATTGTGAAAACAGGAAATCTTGCTTGTTCCCATACCCAACTGCCCAAATAAGAAACTCATCCTGCTTTCTTCATTTTCTCTCTCTTTCTATCTATTATTGACTGGCAGGGAGATAATGGATTGAACGTAGAACTGGAGATCAGAAACTCAACAAGTCTAGGAACAGTTCTTATTCTGGTTCCATTTTGAACATCTATTATGAATGTGTTTTGCAGAGTTTCCACCAACATGATCAAATCCCTGGTGCTTCTTCAAAAGTCTGTGAAACTGGGCCAAATGTTGGTTTTGTAAACCAACCAAAAACTAATAAATTTTTCTTGGTTTGGGGTTTTATCACAAAAGATTCCCACCTCAGCTTTGCTTAGGGTTTTAGTTCAATATCCATCTGAAAGATAGTAATTCCATCGTCACAGTGTCCCCTAAAACCATGCTGAGGAACTATGCTACCTAGAGAATGACAAACACCACTTCCAGCAATAAAGAGGAGAGGCAGCTGACCTCAGTGCTATAGGAGATCAAGAATGAAAGAAGAGCGGGAAGAAATTGGTAGATTTAATGTTTATGGGGTTTTTTTTTCTAAATCATTCATGAAAGAGGGATAACTGGAAGGCCAACAGCATATTTTATACAAAAAAATTATAAAATAATACTGTTGTTCCTCTTGTAGTACAACAAGGAGAGGATGGAGCTGTACCACAGGAGTAACCCTGTTCCTACACTTTATAAACTGTAAAGACTGGTTTACTGCATGCTAGAACCGAGTAGCGCTGTGTAAATTACCCTTTAAATACACATATGCTGAATATTAACAATTATTCTCACCTTTCTTGCCAAGCGGTTGATGAGTACTTTATTTGTAGGTGTTGTTACATTTAATTTCTTAAAACAGAGCCCTGAAGTGCCTCCAGGTGAAACCTTGTAAGAAAAATGCCAAAATAAGAGTTTGGGGGATGGGTGAATATTACAGATAGTATTTATTTTAGCGTGTACAAGAAGTAAATAACAAGTGGTATACTTAAAAATTAACAAAATACTCACTAGTTTTCTTATTGAATTTGCACTCTGAAAAACATTTAAAAAGTAGATTAGAAATGCAGGGATATTAGTAATGTTCCTCCTGTTTTGCTATGACAAATTATTAGTCATTTTCAACACTGAGGGTCCATCTCCTGCTATCTTAATGCTAGCTAAACTTTCACTAAACATGGGAACATATACTTCCCTGTTAGTCCCAAAGCAGACCTGGCTGGGGGTATTGCCCAGCCAGTGAGTGGGTCTCAGCTGTTTGCAGGGCCTAGGGCAGAAGACAAGGGGATGTTCATCCCGGCCTGTCCCGGCTCAACCTGCCTGGGTGTCAGACTGTTCCCTCAATCTGTCAGCAGGGCCCAGCAGCCTCTGCAGCCCCAGGCTAGGGGCTACTCCATCAGCCCCTGCCCCAGCTGCGCACGGTTCGGAGGTGGCAGTGGTTGGGCCTGGGACAAGGGAGGTGCAAGGGGCCTGTCACGAATTTCTAAGGGAATAGGAATGGGGTGGCACACTGAAGTTTTTCCTTGGCAGCACATTGTCTTGAGCAGCATCTGCTTTAACCACCTCACTGGTCACAGGTCCCCTGGAGTGAGAGGATTTATAGGTGCCAAACCAAGCTGGGCCTATCACATTGGGAAACAGGGTCCTGACACCAAGAGAGCCAGACTGGACCATGTGTTTCTACCCAGAGCGAGGTGTGGGAAGCCAGGCTTGTCACGTGAGGGCTGCACTTGAGAAGCATCTAAAGGGGTCTGGTGTACAGTTCACACAGTAATTAGGACCTCTTATCAAATTACAGTAATCACCTAAAACACTGCTGTAGTAATATCATAAAATTTAGTGTTTTGGGTCCCAATCCTACAAAATATTTGCTAATGTAGCCCATGTGGACTTTGCCCATTTGCCCATGTGCACTCCCAATGAAATCAGCCATACAGGCACAGGGTTCCACAAGGGCTATCCCAATGCAGGACTGAGGCCCTGGACCATTACTACAGTGTACTGTAGGCATTAATTGTCTAAGGATAAGGATTGCAAGATTTGGCCTCAATTTATTTATGAGAAAAATGTGACCTTGAATATTTTTTCTTGTGAAACTCACTTTAATATAATCAAATATTTTGTGACTTTCCCTCTCACACAAACCACCCACACAATGATCTTAATTCACCTGTGAGTTTTACCAAGTTTCACCAGCCTTGCAGAAAGTCAACCCTGAGAGCGGTAGCATTGGTGCAAGTCCCCCCAACACCCGCACCCAGCCAGTGCAGTTCCAGAAGTGTGAGGGGAGGTGGAGGCTTTAAGCATATCACTCGGGCATCCACTGCCCCAGGAGGACTATTGTGGAGATCCTGCTGAAACTTGAAGCTAGCATCACAAGCAAAATCCCTGGAGGAAGCCAGTGATATGGGCATCTCTTGCCTTCCTCTCATGGGACTGAATTCCCCTGGGGTGCAACTGTTACAGGCTAGTGGAAGGGGATATACAATTTGCACTTCTCTTCACCACCTCAGTTAAACTATGCTGATTTACCCTTTGAGGATCTAGTCCACTCAGTTGAATATCTAACAATAAGAAAGAAAACTACAGTTTCATTTCCTTGTAACAAATACAACAATTACTAGTTACCCTGAGGTCTGTTTCATTTCCCAAGAGGTACAATAAAACATGTGCTTTGAAATATAAATAACTTACAATTTTTAAAATGGCTATCACTGTTAACTGGATGTTAATTCATGTTGTGCCTTTGCACACACGTACCAAAATAATTCAACATTACTAAGGTTATTGAGGAAGTGATAGCAAGCAAACATCTTACCCGATTAGTGGGACACTTTTCAATATGAGCAACAATTATTTCTCCTGGGAGCTTGACTAAAATGTAGGAAGCCATATTATAGAGGGCTATGTTATTTCCATCAAATGTAATAATGCTCAGTTCAGACAGTACAGAACATTGACCTAAAAAAGAACTGACATTTAATGAGGGTACCACAAAACTGACCACTACAAATTTCTTTAAATCTTCTATTTTTGGCAATAATTGCCTCTTCAGTAAAAACAAAAACCCACCACTGTTAGCTGGAATTGCTGTGCACAGCGCATTGAGCCAAGAGGAGAAGGAAGTACCTTATGTTGTTCAACAGCAACAGCTCTGGCCAGTTAAGGAGTGCGCTGGATACAGGGACAGATCCTCAGCAGTTGCAAATTGTCATCACTCCGTTGAAGTGAATGGAGTAATGACAATTTACATGAAATGAGGGTCTGTTCCATGGGTCAAAAGGGAGATTCAATCATTCTTCTACAACTGAAAAGTCAGTGGCTGCAATATGGAGGTCTCAAGAATGTCATACTTCTTTATGACTATCTATATTTTAATACTCACCTTTGCTACACCCTAAACAAATAAAAATAAAATTGGAGCATCTATTGCCAGAATTAGGACCTGATGCAACACTCTTTAAATGAAATGACATATCTATTGAGGTCAAGGCCTAAAGTTCCAGTTAGAGTTGAGTGAAATTTGGAATTTCCGTCCCGCAGGAAATTCTGATATTTCAACGTTTTTCTTTTGGGAAAAAAGCTGATATTCTAACATTTTTCATGGAAGGGAAATTTCAATATAGAAATGTTAAAATGCTTCATTTCAATATTTTCAATCAGAATGTTCTGACATTCCCAAAATCAAAAGGTTTCATTCTGATTTGTTGGTTGAACTAACCTGAGACATTTCATTATTAAACTGTATTTTCCTACTGTGGCACATTGTCTCATGGGAGTTGTAGTTCTGGAGCCTGATTTACAACGCAGTATATTTAAAAATCTGTATGTTAAACTCCAAAGGAAAAAAAATCAAATTAAGCAAAGTAATCTATAAAAATAATGCTGATTTATTCTTTGCCACAAAATATGAAAGTCTCCCCAATTTATTTATTTTATTTTAAGAAAAGGCTTTTCTGTTGTATTTTTACTGTGGTATTGCACGCCTCATGGGCATTAATGGATTTAGTTTCTCAATATTCCTGAGAAGTATGGAATTCCCAAGTATTTTGCCCTAAATTCACACAGAAAATCTGTGGCAAAACTAGGAATAGAAACCATGTATTCTGAGTCTCAGGCCAGTGCATTAACCACAAGACAATCCTTCCTCTTGAATTTATAATCCTTAATTTATAATTTTTGATGTTTACATAATCAAGTTTTAATCTTTCACATTTGAGAACGTAACAAACAATATAATGACTTACAGGGACATTCCCATTCTGGACAACAGCTATCACTGTTAACTTGAACTGGCATTCCTCGAAAACCACAGTCAGGTTTTTCCACGTTCTTATGGCAGTTCCTTGAAACGTTATACAACATCCATCCCATATTAATGCATACATACTGGCTACATCTGTCTACAGGTTCAATGTATCTTGGCTGTTATGTAGAAAGGAAAAATAGGAATGAGCATTGCAGTCAGTATATTCAAAAATTAAATTCAGAGACACGGACAAGAATATTCTTACACCACATGAGTTTAGCTGCAACATGAGCTCCCTGCAGCTTTTGCTTTTGAACATCCAATGCTCAAGGGACCTATCCATGCCCATTCAAGGTTAAAGAGGTCAACTGGATGCACTAGATAGGTCTCCATCTAGCACCCAAGAATCCACCAAGTTAATCTGCTGCATGCTCCTAGGCTAGAAAGGAAACAGACTCCCAATACTTTTCTCCCATATCCCCCAGGACACTCAGTGGTAAATTAGCCACTGGACCAATGGGGCCCCTGCCCAGGGACCCCAACCCACTCCGCCCACCCGGTGCTCCTGCTGGGGTGCAGGGCTGGGACACGGGGGCTTGCCCTGCTCCACCCTCCCACCCAGTGCTCCTGCCAGGGAGCAGGATCGGGGCATGTGAGCTTGCCCCCCTCTGCCCACCTGGTGCACCTGCCAGGGAGCGGGGGAAGCCTCCGCACCCTGACCCAGCTCCCCGGCAGGAGTTCCCCCTGTGTCCCGACCCCATTTCCCCAGTAGGAGTGCTGGGGGACTGCGGGGGGACTGCAGGCAGAAGGGGTAGGGAGGGGCCCCCACTTGCTCTGACCCAGGGCCCCACAAACCCCTAATCTGCCTCTGAGGACACTGAGCAGGACAAGGCAGAAATTTGCCATAGTGCCCAAATACATATACAAATAAATTAAAGATAACCAAAAAGAACAAACAACAATAAAATCAACAAAAACACAGAATTCCAATTAATCCTCGAAATTGTGACATGGTCATGGATCTTTTGCTAAAATTGAGAAAAGGGCTCTATCATTTGAAGACAGAGTAACTGAAGATGTTGGAGGCACTTTATTCACTTGTGGCTCCTCGTATTTGTTCCAATAACCTCAGAAAAACAGGTTATTGGCCTATCAATGTATTTCCAGGGGTCTGCTTTCATACACCCACAGCACTGGGTACACACACACACACACACATACACACACACACACACACCCCTCTCACTGGAGCATAGGTGCTGGAACTAGAGGTGGGGGTGGGGGTGCTGCAGCACCCCCTGACTTGAAGTGGTTTCCATTATATACAGGGTTTACAGTTTGGTTCAATGGCTCTCAGCACCCCCAGTATACAAGTTGTTCTAGTACCACTGCACTGGAGCCCAGTAGAAAGCATTGGCTATTGAGGCCAGATGCACACTTGCTCACAGTAACCAGTGTTCATGCCCACAAGTATATAAGGAGACATAACCCTGCTTTGTTCCTCAGTAACTTCCACTAATTTAAATTCCATAGACTCCAAAGAAGTAGGGAGGGAAGGTGAGCTGTGCCCATCTCTGCAGGAAATAATTTCAAAGAACTCCATGTCTCAGTAGGGGCACACAGCTCCAATGGCCAAAGTTTTCTAGAGTGTTTCAGCCAATTTGTGGAGTACACAAGTGCACCCAAGAGTGTGGAGGTGCAGGCAATCTTCAAAGAAAAATAAAGAGCCAATATAAAGGCCAAACAAAGAGAGAAAAATGAAAGATATTTTATCCAATTTAAAACCTCTCCCATCCCAGTTGGTAGAGAAAAAGCAGATTAAAAAGCAATATACAGAGTGTACAGTGGGCAGATAAAATTGATCATACCATACAATCTGAGGAAGATGACATCAGTGTATGTATCATTGTGCCATATGAAGCATGGTCAGCTGTAACTGTCATCATCATGTCTGTGTCTGTCAGTGAAGTTTGCGTTTCCACAGGTTCTGTAGTAGAAGACAGCACCTTTGCATAACTGAAATGAGATGAAGCTGTTACAGTGGTGCTCTGCAATCCTCCAATCCCCACTTGCTCTGGTTCTGTTAGATTATAGTAAGGTTTGATTGTTCTTTGTGGTGGAATTCTGGACCAATCTGATAGAGATACATCTGTGACTTCAGAAATAGAGACAGATTTTCCTGAAGTTATGCTGCTTTGACTGGGCAAGGAAGTAGTCTGAACAGAAGAGAACGTTGAGTGTAGCAGTGAAGATTTCTCAGTAGTTGTAGATTTTGTCTTAGTAATATTTCTTTGTACATGTGAAGTCTGACTACTTTCTCTAGTGTCTGCAGTTCTCCCAATGGAGGTTGCATATTTAAGTTCTGAAGCTGCAGAAGGTGTAATCTTCAGCTCCGAGAATGCAGTCATGGCACCAGTTGTTTTCATGACTATAGTTTTTATCATTTCTTTAGTACTCAGTGAAACTGGGGAATGTGCAGATGTCAGTAAAGTCTTAGGTGAAGGATACATAGGTGTTTTAGAGGTAGCAGGAATTGGCACTGAACTAGAGGCTGTGTAAAGCTCAATATGAGTAACAGAAGATTCAGTGGTTTTTGCAGTAACACTAGGGGCTATGGTGGTGGCAGGAGTAACTAATAAAGTTATTGAAGGACTAACTGATGTTTTCATAGTGACATAAGTTGGCACTAAGGATGTAGTACTCAAAGCTGTGCTCATGGTCAGTGCTGCCGATGGCACTGTGGAGTGAGTGACTATTTCAGTGGGTACAAAAGTTCTTGTTTCATATTCTATGGAAGGACTTGATGATGATATATTTGTTCCTAATGATACAGTAGATACATGGGAGGTCTCTAAAGAGGGTAAAGATGTAGTAGTGAATATACTGGAATAGCTTTCCAAAGTGACTTTCGGAGTTTTAGAAGTTAATAAATGTGGTAGTGCAAATGACGTTTTAGGCACTGCTGAAGGACTTATGTAAATGTTTGTGCCTAAAGTTAATGTAGCAATACCCGAGGGAGAGGTTGCCAGTTCTGTATGTGGGCTTTTTGAGGTTTCTTGTGTACCCATGGATACAATGGGTGACTGGGTAAGAGTTACATTTGATATCAAAGCAGATGTCCTGTTTACTGTGGGAATCACTGAAGAACTTGTTGTATGGGATGTCATGGCAGAGGCTTGTGAAACAGATGGTCTTGCTGATGACAACAACATTGTAAGTAATGTGGATGGACTAGTAAAAGACAATATAGCTCCTGATAGTTCTCTAGAAGTTAGAGAAGTGTCAGTACTTCGTACCACAGAGGCAGTTTTGAATTCTGAATGTGGACTGATAGGGTACTCTGTTATTTTTGAAGTGGTTCTTGCCATTTGATAAGTAGCTAATGTGGCATTTATGGGAAATACAGGTGTACTGAAAGGGAAGGCTGTAGAACTAATGGATGCAGTCAACCTTTTAGAAATAGTCGATATTGGAAATGCATCAGTTTGTAGTGCATATTTACTTTCTGTTGAGATTGTACTTGTTACAGATACCTCAGAGATTTGAGGAGTGGCTAGAAGAGATACTGAAGTAGCGGAAGGTTCTAAGAAGAGACTCTTTGAGACAACTGTGACTTCTCTCGTTGCTTTGGGCTTGGGGGATGTAATTGGAGGAGGCATTAATGTAGACATTGTGTGTGTTTCAAGGGGACTCAAAGAAGACCACGTTGTTCTCATGGTTGTAGGGATTTGAGAAGCAACTGGAGATGAAGTTTCAGTCATTATAGGTGGAATACTGGAAACAGTGTCTGTGCTTAATTGAACTATATGTTTGGAGGGAGTCACTGAAATGTCCATTGAAGATAAAAATGTAGGTAGTGAAGTTCTTGTTAAAGAACTGGTTGTTCTTAAAGATGATGAAGTAGTTTGGGAGGTGGGTGGAGTTGGCACCAAGTATGAAGCTGTGATTAACTGAGGAGGACTAGTTTCAAAGCTAGTAAATCTAGAAGTAGCCTTGGGAGTTTGAAAAACAGTTGAAGTTGGGGCATAAACAGAAGCTGGGTGAACTATAGGTTGAACCATAGTAGACCTGGTTCTTTCAGTCATAGTAGATAGTGGTGAAGTAGATGCAGGTAATATTAATTGTGAGCTTGTAAAGAATGTGGGACTTGAAAAAGATGTTCTTCCAGTTAATGAAGCAGATGAAGGAAATTCTGTGGATGTTTGTGGCAGTTGTGAATGGCTTGTGGAAGGTCTTCTGGTTCCCCAGATCCTTGTAGGTACTTCAGTAGTGACAAAGGCTGGTCCAGGAGATAAACTTGCTAATGCTGTGGAAGAGGATGCAGTTCCTGTTTCAAGTGAAAATGGTGTTACCACTAAGGAAGTGGGCATTGGTAATGTAGAATGTCTAGGAACAGGACTTGCAGTTAGCAGAGTAAAAGAAGGTGTTGGTGGAACTGCCATAGTAATGGGTGAGGTTATAAACACTGTCGGACTTACAGTAGGGGATGTTTTTAATGTCGCTGCTGCTGTCTGAAGAGTAGCTGGAAAATCTGTTGAAGATACAGGCTTGGGCAGTACAGACAGGCTTGCTGTGCTGTGGGTTACTTTGGAAGACTGCAGTGTACTTGAAACAGGTAATGAATGAGTTAAATAAGTAGTTGTATGAGGTGATGCCAGTGAATGAAAGTCTGACAAAGTTTCTGCTGTAGTGTTTGCTCCTCTTAAAGTTGTGTCTATCGTTGTGGTTATTTTGGTAGTTACAATTGTATGACTAGGCTCAGCTTCAGCTTCTGCAGTAACAAATATAGGGGGCAGCTGAGGAAATCTCTCTGTAGTAACAATTGTAGGAGAGATTAATGCAGTGGGCCTTGTCCTCTGGGTTTTTGTTCCAGCTGCCAGCTCTGTAGGTGTCACAGGTATGCCTGGAAAAAAAAAACGTATATTTCACTGTTATTCTGTATTAAAGAAAGAGCAAAACAGCAACATCTAACAGTCACTGGGTACCAATCTAAATATAAACCAACCTATTCTTAGACAGCTTAAATTCCCTGAAAAGATAACCGCAGTATGTCCCCAAAGACATTGTTTCAGGATATCTGCAGACTCTAGAGGACAACTCAACATTAGCTGCACACAACTCACATTTGTAAGGTTTTCTTCACAAACCAAAAAGCTAGGTTTTTTATTATATGGTAGTTTAAAGCTTTTATTCTGGAGCACAATTCTACAGCAAGGAGTGAATTCTGTAGCAAATTCTGCAAACACAGAATAGTAGAATATTTGGGACCTTAGATTAAAAAAATACAGTTTTTTTTCTATTTTTGGACAGTAATGCACTATAATAGATTACTTTGTAGTAGTAATTATTAAACATCATATAACTAGTTTAAAAATACAAAATACTGAGACTATTTTAAAATGGAAGAAAAATAACTATAATGCTTAATCACCACATTATCCACAAATAAAGGAATGATGTGATAGCCACATGCTGGCAGTTAACCATCCAGGACACTGGGCTATTTAAATTCCCCCTCCCCTCAAAAAATGTAGCCAAAGATGCAGGGAGGTTGGCAGTGAGGTACAAGAGGTCATAGTAAAAACACGGGATCAATGTATAACTGGGGCAGAGTTGGGCTGAGCCTTTAACAAGAACAAGATGTCTCAATTTAATACAATGGAAGTGACAGAAGAGAAATTGAATTTGTGTTCCACACAGTCAGATCTGGAGGATGATTTTAGCAGCTGTATTCTGGATGGACTGGAGTGGAGTGATGCACGTATCAGGGAGGCCAGGGCGAAGGAGGTAGCACTTTTGCTACAGCACTTTTGCTACAGCCACTGCCTGTACAGCATGCATATCCCTCTTCTTCTCCCTCTTTCCGTATATGGGCTTTATTTTCTAGGGCTTTCAATCTGGTTGTTACAGCCTGACACCCCAATATTCACCACTGTCATGTAATTAGGATATGTCTTATACAAAGTATGCCTTGTGAGGTGTCATTCTAAAAATCTTGATCTGCTAGACAGTAATATCTCGTACGATTGTATGTGCTATTGTAATTTGTGAAGTTAAGCTATGTATGTGTTGCTGAAACATGCCCTGAGGTTGAAAACACCCATCAGGTATGACAGTAAAAAGGCCAAACAATTTTGATGGCTTATTGAGGAAATGCACACAAGCACAAGGATTACCCCAGGAACTGTGTACAACAGAAACCTCTCAGAGATAGCACTACCCAATGGAAATTGTTTGACCCCAGTCACAGCAAAAGAGCTTCCAGCAAGTGGGGAGAAGATATAAAAGGGGGAAAATGACATTGGGGGGGACCTCACTCTCCCTACAACAACACACCTGGAAACACCTGAGGAACAAAGACTGAACTGTGGGAAATGACGGTCCCAGGCTAGAAGGATTTTTAGCCTGTGTATGAAAACCTGGGAAAGCCAAGGCAACTTGTGCCTTAAGAATCTGCCAGCCTGTTTGTCACTCAGAGTGAGAATATGCTAATTAATACCTTACCTATCTGGTGTGTTAAGATCAGTTTGCGTTTTTTGTTTATTTACTAAGGTAATCTGCTTTGATCTGTTTGCTATCCCTTATAACCACTTAAAATTTAACTTTTGTAGTTAATAAACTTTTTTCTTGTTTATAACATAAGCCAGTTTGTGAAATTCATATCTGGGGGGGGAGGAGGGGGGCAAGAAGCTGTGCACATCTCTCTCCACATTGAGGGAGAGGGCGAATTTTTATGAGCTTGCGCTGTGCAGATCTTTCTATACAGTGCAAGACAGTATTATTTTGGGTTTATCTCCCAAAACGGGTGTGCACATTAGTGCTGGGTGAGTCCTCTCACACAGAGTTAACTTCAGTCTGTGTCTACAGCTGGGTGTGGCCCTAACTGTGTGTGTGTGTGCTGCAAAAGGCAGGAAAGCCTAATTCAGCAAAACAGGGAGAGGGAATCCAGGCTGGTGGAGCAGGAGATGCTCAGTGAAATCCCAGTACATCAGGTGGCATCCCGGACGGGGGGGTCCAACCTATCACACTGGGCGTGAGCACTAAATACATTATATAATAAAAAACTTTACTGGTAACTGCAGAAAGTACTTACAGTCTTCTGGATAAACACATTTAAGTGTCACCTCATCAAGGATCATATTTTTAGGACAATATGGTAAGCATCCTTCAACCCTTTAATAAAACCCCCCCAAAAAATCACATTAGAAAAAATGGCAAATCTACAATATCTTAGTTCAGTTTGACAAAATGACAGTTTTTAAGGTTCCTTTTTTTGACCCTGCCACACAGAGAATCCTGAGACCCCTCCATTAGTTTACACACACACACACACACACACACACACACACACACACACACACACACACACAACAACACACACACACACTACTA